ATTTTGAGTATTTATGCATTTATTAATTCCATGTGAGATTTTTTTTTTTTGGGGGGAGGGGGGTCTTTTGTATCATTTTCATTGTAGCTTAAATTGTTTATCCTCTTTTTTATGGTCTATTTTTTACTTGGTATTGTAAGAACATCAATGCAGCCGAGTGTCTAATTGGAAACAACTTCAAAAACCGAAAATTTACTATAATCATATCCTATTTTGACTATTTCTATTTCATAAAAGTTGTCGGGTTATTCGGTTAGAATCATTATAATATATTTATCGTTTTATTCTGATTATTCTCTACATATAGCTTTTGTGAATAAAATATCGTTAATTCTGTTAATTTTGAATTCACTTGTACCGTTACGAATTTTTCAAATTGAATTGAATTGAGTTAGATTTTTGGTTTGAATCTGACTACATAGGGTATGAAACCAACATATGGCATGGTGTGTAAGACTTTATACACTTAATACATGATCTATTGAGTATTTATGCATTTATTTATTCCATGTGAGAAGTTATTTCCAATTGGATATTCGAATGCATTGATGTTCTTACAAATACCCCCACTAAAAAATAGACCATAAAAAAAGAGGATAAACAAAACCGAAAATTTACTCCAACTATATCCTATTTTGACTATCTCTATTTTCATAAAAGTTGTCGGGTTATTCGGTTAGAATCATTATAATTTATTTGTNTTGGGGGAGGGGGGTCTTTTGTATCATTTTCATTGTAGCTTAAATTGTTTATCCTCCTTTTTATGGTCTATTTTTTACTTGGTATTGTAAGAACATCAATGCAGTCGAGTGTCTAATTGGAAACAACTTCAAAAACCGAAAATTTACTATAATCATATCCTATTTTGACTATTTCTATTTCATAAAAGTTGTCGGGTTATTCGGTTAGAATCATTATAATATATTTATCGTTTTATTTTGATTATTCTCTACATATAACTTTTGTGAAAAAAATATCGTTAATTCTGTTAATCTTGAATTCACTTGTACCGTTACGAGTTTTTCAAATTGAATTGAATTGAGTTAGATTTTTGGTTTGAATCTGACTACATAGGGTATGAAACCAACATATGGCATGGTGTGTAAGACTTTACACTTAATACATGATCTATTGAGTATTTATGCATTTATTTATTCCATGTGAGAAGTTATTTCCAATTGGATATTCGAATGCATTGATGTTCTTACAAATACCCCCACTAAAAAATAGACCATAAAAAAAGAGGATAAACAAAACCGAAAATTTACTCCAACTATATCCTATTTTGACTATCTCTATTTTCATAAAAGTTGTCGGGTTATTCGGTTAGAATCATTATAATTTATTTGTTGTTTCTTTCATTCAAGAACTACGAGTAACTATATCATTAAAATTACTCACTTTATAATTTGATTAGATGATATGTTTCTATACATGAATAAGATATGTTTTTTTTAATTCTAACATCAAACTAATTCAGTAATTTATACTTTCACTGATTCAATGAATTATNTCATTATAATATATTTATCGTTTTATTTTGATTATTCTCTACATATAACTTTTGTGAAAAAAATATCGTTAATTCTGTTAATCTTGAATTCACTTGTACCGTTACGAGTTTTTCAAATTGAATTGAATTGAGTTAGATTTTTGGTTTGAATCTGACTACATAGGGTATGAAACCAACATATGGCATGGTGTGTAAGACTTTACACTTAATACATGATCTATTGAGTATTTATGCATTTATTTATTCCATGTGAGAAGTTATTTCCAATTAGACATTCGAATGCATTGATGTTCTTACAAATACCCCCACTAAAAAATAGACCATAAAAAAAGAGGATAAACAAAATCGAAAATTTACTCCAACTATATCCTATTTTGACTATCTCTATTTTCATAAAAGTTGTCGGGTTATTCGGTTAGAATCATTATAATTTATTTGTTGTTTCTTTCATTCAAGAACTACGAGTAACTATATCATTAAAATTACTCACTTTATAATTTGATTAGATGATATGTTTCTATACATGAATAAGATATGTTTTTTTTAATTCTAACATCAAACTAATTCAGTAATTTATACTTTCACTGATTCAATGAATTATTTATGTTTTTACTAGTGTCAGTCCCGTGCGATGCACGAAAATTGCACATTCCCCTGTCAAATTTTTTTTTCCTTTTTTTATTGTCATCATATCATTAAAAAAATTAGATAAAAAATTATATATATAAAAATTAGGTTGGTAAAAATAATTAATTAAAGTTATGGTCGTGAAACTATGTTTCTAAAAAATTTAAATTAGTGGCTCATTTTTTAAAAAAANACACTTAATACATGATCTATTGAGTATTTATGCATTTATTTATTCCATGTGAGAAGTTATTTCCAATTAGACATTCGAATGCATTGATGTTCTTACAAATACCCCCACTAAAAAATAGACCATAAAAAAAGAGGATAAACAAAATCGAAAATTTACTCCAACTATATCCTATTTTGACTATCTCTATTTTCATAAAAGTTGTCGGGTTATTCGGTTAGAATCATTATAATTTATTTGTTGTTTCTTTCATTCAAGAACTACGAGTAACTATATCATTAAAATTACTCACTTTATAATTTGATTAGATGATATGTTTCTATACATGAATAAGATATGTTTTTTTTAATTCTAACATCAAACTAATTCAGTAATTTATACTTTCACTGATTCAATGAATTATTTATGTTTTTACTAGTGTCAGTCCCGTGCGATGCACGAAAATTGCACATTCCCCTGTCAATTTTTTTTTTTCCTTTTTTTATTGTCATCATATAATTAAAAAAATTAGATAAAAAATTATATATATAAAAATTAGGTTGGTAAAAATAATTAATTAAAGTTATGGTCGTGAAACTATGTTTCTAAAAAATTTAAATTAGTGGCTCATTTTTTAAAAAAAAATTAATGAATAATAGTTAATTAATGGGATAGAGAGGTAGTTACATGAGATATGTATTAGAACATATTTGGTTAAGTGATAATTAAATAATTAAAAATTCTAAGAAAACAGAAAAAGTAGGAGGGAAGGCTTCTCAAGCCGCATCCCATCTAATTTAATTGTATTTACCCTACATTACTTGATTTGGATGAGTTACGATTTGTTAATTAATATCTAGATGATTACAAACTTTTAGTTTAATTTTATTCAGAATATTCTCTACGCATAGTTTTTGTGAAGAAAATATTATTTATTCTGTTAACCTACACTTTACTTGTAACGTTACGAGTTATTCAAGTTGAATTGAATTGAATTGAATTAAATTTTTTGTTTGAATCTATGAAGAAGATGTCGTTAATTTTAATAATCTTGATTTTACTTGTATCCTTAAGAGTTTTTTCGAATCGAATTGAATTGAATTAAGTTAGATATTTAGTTTGAATATGTGAAGAACATATGGTTAGTTTTGTTAATCTTGACTTCACTTGTACCGTTATAAGTTTTTTTAGTTGAATTGAATTGAATTACATTTTTGATTTGAATCTGTGTAGAAGATATCATTAATTATAATAATCTTAACTTCACTTGTATTGTTACAAGTTAGATCTTTAGTTTGAATATATGAAGAAAATATCGTTAATTCTGTTGCTCTTGATTTTACTTGTATCGCTATGAATTTTTCGAGTTGAATTCAGTTGTGTTGGATTTTTTTTTGTTTGAATTATAGGATATAAAAACCAAATTGCAAGGTAGAAAGCCCAAATGAATGATACATACATAGTATGGTGTTGTCAAAATCCATAGCCCAAGCCTTATTGAAAACCCAGGAAGGAGATTCGAAATTTTCAACAGTGTCCTCCTGGAATATAAATAGTGTCACGTAATAAGAATTACTCCTCCGAGTTCTCTCTCATTTTTTCCCTTACATCTTTTTTCCTTTACCTCTCTCCCAAACTTCGTATTGTTTTCCAATGTTGGAGAGAAAATAAAAACGGAAAAGAAAGAGAAACGATTTGTTCTTTCAAAGGTTTGATCCAAAGATTGAACTGATTTTTCATTTCGTTTGTGGTTAGATCTGTTCCCCCTTTCTTCTTTTTATTTTCTTTTGGAAAATCTGAGGGAAACTTCAGACGGTGAAAACTTCTCGGTTCTTTCTTGAAAAAATGAGATGTATATTTTCTCGCTTGTTACAACCTTTTTCTGTTGTTTTGCAGGGATGAAGCGAATAAGAGAGGATGGTAACGATAACCCTCAATTTAAGAGGCCATTTGGTTCTTCTCGTGTGGAATCGTAAGCTCTATCTCTCTCTCTGTCTCTTATATACGTTAGATATTGTAGTTTCGATATTTTTTCAATTTTCTGAGTTTTTATGTTTTGGGTTTGATTGACTATATTTTTCCTGTGTGGGGAATTTGGTATGGTTTGGTTGATCCTGATGTTAGCTATATAGCATGCAAAGTTACCCTTTTTTTGGTTGATTGCCTTTTTATCCAGAAATTTATTGAAATTCTTCAACGTCTTGTTTGTTGATTTACTCGATTTTAGTTGTTATGTCGCGGTTGGTAGGAAAGAACTTTGGGACCAGAATTTCTTGATCCCCTTTTTGCCATCTTTAAGAAACTCTGATTTGGGATGTATCCTTAAATCTGTTTGGTTGCAGAGACTGTGGGAAGGAATTGAAATAAAGTTTTGATCTGTTTGGTTGCAGAGGAGCGCATGTTATTTTAGTAGGATAGTTTCATTTGTTTCGATTAAGTTGGTTTTTTTTCCCACCGGTCACCAAATGATGAAAAAGACAACAATTTTCAGTAACCAAAGAGGCCATAAAGTCAGATGAGACGTGTTTTTTAAGAGCATGCGGAAAGAGGAAAGAGGAAAGAGGAAAGAGATGTTGTCTATGTAGAGAATTTGCATGTATAGATCACAGCAGTTATGGTGTGGATTTTAACATATAAGGATTTTGTTTTTTTGGTATCTTGACTAACAACTATTTTTATGGTGATGCAGTTATGGGCAACCCCAAGTCCCTGGAGGAGGAGGCAGTGGCACCGGTGGCAATGGTAGTGGAGGAGGTGGAGGTGGAGGTGGAGGTGTAGGAGGAGGTTCCGGTGGTGTTGGTGTTACACAGAAACTGACAACCAATGATGCACTAACGTATTTGAAGGAAGTTAAGGACATGTTTCACAATCAGAGGGAGAAGTATGACATGTTCCTTGACGTAATGAAGGATTTTAAGGCTCAAAGGTATATACTTCCCCCATAGTAGGATTGGGATGGAAAAATGATTGCATGAAACATTCCATTAATTCATCTTGGAAAGATGTTCATTGCAGAATTGACACTACTGGAGTCATAGCAAGGGTGAAAGAATTATTCAAAGGACACAATAATCTTATCTTTGGGTTTAATACCTTCTTGCCAAAGGGTTATGAAATCACCATGACTGATGATGAAGAAGCTCTTCCAAAGAGAACGGTTGAGTTTGATGAGGCTATAAGCTTTGTAAATAAGATAAAGGTGAAATTTCTCTCTAACCATTTAAAGATGTGCTTCTAAGTTCATTTCATATGAATGCTAACGTATGGATCTTGTTCCCGTAGAAACGGTTCCAAAATGATGATCATGTGTACAAATCATTCCTCGACATCCTTAATATGTACCGAAAAGAGCACAAGGGCATCACTGAGGTCTACCAAGAGGTGATTTTATATTTTATCGTTATCTTTGATCATATGAATGGCTCTGCCAGCAGATCATCTTTGAAAGAGTTCTACATATCGGCAAGCAACATTTTGGTGTGATATTCAATACTTTTACAGGTTGCAGCACTTTTCGATGATCATCCAGATTTGCTTGAGGAGTTCACAAGGTTTTTGCCGGATGCCTCAGCTACAGCATCAGCACCACATGTTCCATTTGGCAGGCAATCTTTTCATCGCTATGACGAAAGGAGCTCTGCTATGCCCACACTTCGGCAGACACACGTGGACAAAGTAATTTATCTGTTTTGTTTTTCCTTGTTCATGCATACTTTCTAGTCTACTTATTTCATAACATGGTGTTGAACCTCCAATGTGTCTAGCAACGCTGCCGGAGGGACAGGATTATGAGTCCCCATGCTGAACGCGATCTAAGTGTTGAGCGTCCTGATCTGGATGATGATAAAACAATGATGAAACTGCAGAAGGAGCAGAGGAGGCGTGCTGAAAAGGAGAACAGGGACAGGAGAAATCGTGATCAGGATTACAGAGAACCTGAGCACGACAACAATAGGGACATGAGCATGCATTGTCTTTCCGACAAAAGAAAATCTGCACGGAAACTTGTCGACTATGGAGTGAATCCTAATTTGGCCTCTTATGATGATAAAGATGCTTTGAAAAGTGAGTGAATCTTGCGGGTTTTATTTGATGATGCCGTTATGTGTATAGGGCTGCCCGATTTCTATTGAGTTATTAAATTTTTTTTGGGTATAGCATCCTAGGTGTAGAAGTGGTGTTCTTGAATTGTGTTTCATCTTTTGTGATTACATATATAAATATAGATATTGTNGGGTTATTAAATATTTTTTGGGTATAGCATCCTAGGTGTAGAAGTAGTGTTCTTGAATTGTGTTTCATCTTTTGTGATTACATATATAAATATAGATATTGTTATAGAAAAGGTAAGGATTTTTACTTACTCTTGATATCGCTACATAAATCTGCCATTTGTGTCAAGAAGTGGTATTGCTGATGGAAAAGTTGTCCGCACTTTTTTTTTGGGTGAAATTGATGGAGACCTTATGCTTTCTATAATGTTGTTTCTCACTAAAATAGGACTATTCTCCCCCTTCTCTTCCCCCTTCCGTGAGTGCTGGTCCCCATATTTAAAAGAATTACCTTCAATTTCTTTTTTATTGGAGTGAATCTATACTTTATTACCTGTCAATGTTTTGACGTTCTCAAATGGTGGCTTTATCTCTTACATGTCTTGCCTTAGATATCCTGCGCAGTGTTATTCTTCATTAACTCTATGACATCTGGTTTCCTCAAATTATGCTAGGCTTGTACAACCAAGAGTTCGCTTTCTGTGAGAAGGTGAAGGAGAAGTTACACAGTCCAGATGATTACCAGGCATTCTTGAAGTGTCTTCATATTTATAGCACAGAAATTATTACGAGAAAGGAATTGCAAAATTTGGTATGAGTTACATTTCCCATGCTCTCTGTACTTGTGGCGAATGTTTTGGTCCTTTTGGTTTCAGAGCTTAGAAATTCAGTCAATTTGTTTCAGTAGAATCTAGGCGCATATTCCATCTAGTATCCTCAGTCCTTTGCTTCTGCTGAACTGCCTGTGGGTGATAGGAAAAAGATGATTTTTTCAACATGTGCTGGTTAACGTTTAGGTCTTTATATTATAAACATATTATGTAAAATATCCAGAGCTTCCATGTATTGCCTTGGTTACCAATTAAGTCGCTCTTACAGAACTTTACATATTGATGCTTCCTATGTGTAGTTTCCTAAAAAAGGTAATGTTTTGTAAAGTAAGATTTAACTGCAAAGTTTGTTTAAAACTTGAGGTAACTGATCAAGGAGCTGAAGCCATAGGTGTATAAGTTCATAATGAAATGTTCCTTGAATGAGAGATTTTGTCATTTAGGATTTAAATATTTTCTCCTATGTTTGTGCATGATCATTATCTATTGGTCTAACAGCCCCACAAAAAGGGATTTATAAAAATGAAAAAAAGAACAGAAGAAAAAAGAACAAATTAACGCGCTAATTGAATTTTTTATACGTGTAAGGGCTGTTCAGTTTAATTTGGAAATTCACTTGTTTCAGGTTGCTGATCTACTTGGGAAATACCCAGATCTCATGGATGGGTTCAATGAGTTTTTGGAGCGTTGCGAGAGTATTGGTTATAATTTACTGTTGGTTAAGTGGTTTGCTTGGATTTATTGGGAGTGATTCTCATTCAGTTCTTTTTTGCAGATGGATTTCTTGCTGGTGTTATAAGCAAAAGTATGTGCCATTACCTTCTCTCCCCTTCTTAATAGATATAGAGGTGTCCATTGATTTCTTAATTTGCTTGACATATAAATTGGATTTTATTTTATAATGTGCATAGTTGAGTAATTTCCCTTTTCACAACAGAGTCTAATCTGCTCTCAAGTTTATGAATGTTTTGATTTTAAATGTGCTATGTATATTTGTGTGAACCTGCTTTGTCAACTGCAGAATCTTTGTGGAATGAAGGGCAAGCATCCAAATCAATGAAAGTAGAGGAGAAAGACAAAGAAATGAAGCGTGAAATGGATGGAGCGAAAGAAAAAGATAGATGCAAGGAGAAGTATTGGGGAAAATCCATTCAAGAGCTTGACCTCTCTAACTGCCAAAGTTGCACTCCCAGTTATCGGCTTCTTCCGGAAGATGTATGAAGCTCCATCTTCTCTCCTTGTGTGTTTGGATACTAGGGTACCCTGTGTAGAGCACTTTTTTTTACCATGGTTCAAATGTTTACTAGTGGTTAGTAGGTAAATGAAATGTTTATTGTGGTTAAAGTGTTTACTGTGGGTAACATATTTACTTTGCTTAAAAGTTTAAATGTAAATAGACATATTTACTGTGGTTAAAGTGTAACATTTAAGATAAGCGGTTGGATCCAAATGATGTGAGTTATTGTTGTGCTTTTATGGTAAAAAAACTTCTATCTTATTATGTAGATTGTAAATGATTTTTCTGCTGATCGCGAATAATTGGTATTTGTCTCTATGTAGTACCCAATACCTTCAGCAAGCCAGAGGTCTGAGCTTGGTGCTCAAGTTTTGAATGATTATTGGGTATCCGTTACTTCGGGTAGTGAGGATTACTCTTTCAAACATATGCGCAGAAATCAATACGAGGAAAGCCTGTTTCGATGTGAAGATGATAGGTATAAAACCTGTTCCTTTCCCAGTACTTGCTCTCTCTCTCTCTCTCTCTCTCTCTCACACGCACACACGCGCTCGCACACAAGCGATAAAATTTAGATATCATGGTCCTTGACTCAAAGTCATGGTTATTACCATTAACTCTGGAGGGATTCACACCGACTCATTGCTGTTTATCAGATTGGTNATAAAATTTAGATATCATGGTCCTTGACTCAAAGTCATGGTGATTACCATTAACTCTGGAGGGATTCACACCGACTCATTGCTGTTTATCAGATTGGTATCAGATGTTACATGAAGATGAATAATCTATAAGAAAAAAATCATGAATATCAAAAAATGATTAGCAGAATAGAGTTGATGGATAAAAAAATGCCCCATCTGCTACACGTTGTTTTAAGGCTTAAATATTATGGCTGTCAACTGCAGTATTACATTCAGAAACCTTAATAAATGTTTTTGTTTTTCTAATTTATCTTCTTCTCAGTCTTCTTTTTATCAAAATGTAATTTTGCATAATGTTTTTCCCCTCTTTCGTTATCTTACAATTTCTCAACTGACGCTAACAAGTTTGTGAATATGCATATTTAGTGTTGATTCATGATATATTTAGGCATTATCAAAAATGATTTTTTTTTTTTTTAATTTCATTGTATTGCAAATAAGGGTCTGAAAATATTGTAACTTCTACCAATATCTGCCATCCTTGTAAAAATATTTATGAATGTGGAAGTGTGTGAGAATTTATTTTTTTATTTTGGGGGGAGGGGGAAAGAAGCAGCTAAAAGGAGTCTATTGACTGAAACATTTTGTCCTTTCTTCCTATTCTTCTTTATAGGTTTTAGATGGTAGTGAGATGAGGAAGTGAGTTTTCTTGCCAGACACTAAGATCAGTGGGGTCTATTGACTCAGACATGTTGTCCTTTCTTCCCATTCTTCTTCATGAGTTTTAGGCGGGAGTTGTATGAGAAAGTGAGTTTTCTTTCCAGATATGCTAAGATTAGTAGATTAACCCATCGACATCTGATCCGCACCCATTCGTGCTTTTACAATATTTCTTTATGTGGTGTTGCAGTATGGTCTCATATTGCCACCCAATTCACAGCCAGCCATGCTTGGTTCAGCGTCTTTGAATGACCGATAGTTTCCATAGGTTGAAATGATTTTGATGTTCACTCAATGATGGAACTTCAATAAGTAAACCTGGTGGATGTTTTGATGAGTTGAGTTGGTTAACGAGGGAACTCAGTTATATTGTGATTTTGCCTGTTTCTTGGATTTGATAAGTGATGACTGTTTATTATTTGATGATTTCAGGTTTGAATTAGACATGTTGTTAGAGTCTGTGAGTTCAACAGCTAAGCGTGCAGAAGAGTTGCTAAACAGCATTAATGATAATTCAATCAATCCAGAGAGTCCTATCCGAATTGAGGATTACTTCACAGGTTTGTCATCGGAAGATATTCTGATATATTTTAGCCCTTGCTATTTCACGAACTTTGTTTGTTTCAATGTATCAAGAATTTATATCCTTGTCCCCCTTTTTGTTTTTTATTTGTCTAGTTTGGCCTTTTCTCTTGTTTTTGTAGCTCTAAATTTGAGGTGCATTGAACGTCTATATGGTGACCATGGTTTGGATGTGATGGACATACTGCGTAAAAATCTTTCTCTTGCGTTGCCAGTAATATTAACTCGCCTGAAGCAGAAACAAGAGGAGTGGACAAAATGCCGCTCAGATTTTAATAAAGTGTGGGCTGAAATTTATGCTAAGAACCATTACAAGTCACTTGATCACCGGAGCTTCTATTTCAAGCAACAAGATTCAAAGAATTTGAGCACAAAATGTAAGTTATATCTGGATGTGAAGTGTTGTCATTTGGTGTAATTGATAGAACATGTTGGAGGTTGCCTGGTTTTTTTAGCTTTTATTATGCATGATTGTCTGAATTGTTATTTATATGAATGTTTCACATGTGGTTAGTATAGCGCTGGAAAATTAAAAACAAAAAAGAAAATAAATGATTTCTATATGTAGGGAAAGCAATGCAAAATTGCAAATGCATCTGCAGGTGCCTAGGACATTTATTGGGACAAACTCTATTTCCTAATTCTTTAAGCCTTCTCTTTACTTTTCTTGGTTTTTACTCCTGACCTGAGATATTTCTATTGCTTGAGTTCTTTTATGTCACATTTTCAAATTCATGAAAGGTTGTTACTGCATTAATGAGAGGTTATCAGTGGGATTCCATCAAGGATTTTAAAATATTGTTTCGGCGTATTGTTTCAGTCACCTAAAAAATGAAAACGTTTTGAAAATGTTTCAGAAACATATTGGAAAATAATGAAAATGGATAAAAATTTAGGGATTTATTTTCGAAACATTTCAAAGTATTGGTCTAAATATAGTTAAAGAGTTTGAAACATCTCAAAACATTCAAAAAAATTGGTGAAAACATATTGAAACATCCTTAAAAAATTCAAAACATTCTGAAATACCTCTAAGTATTAGAATTTCGATTCAATTAATGATTCATTTCGGTCTCCTTAGAAACGGTAACGTATCGGCCATTTCGACACAATATTTTGATCCTTGGATTCAATGTCATAATGTTTACCACACTTGGTAAGTAAAAAATCTTTGATTATTTACTTTGCTTTTTGAATACTTGTAGGAAGACGGCGTGTCGCTGGAATTAGCAGAATGTAAAAAATGTAGGATGTGGTTGTGCTTTCAGTTGGCAGATATTTCACTTCTGTGAATGCCTTTAAACTTAGATTTGAGTTGTGGATTTTTCTTTTATGGACTTCCTTTGCCTTATATGGTTGTGAAAGGATGATTATACAAGTCTTTTAGATTAATCCTCGTGTTCCATATTCTTTAAAATGGTATGCTAAGATGTTGAAGGATTTTCTAGTGTTCCATTGTGGAAGTGCATTGTGTGATGTAGTTTGGCAAAAAGTATGTTTTATGTGTCCTGCATCCAGGAATGGGGATGACTTACTCAATTTTAATGGGATTTTGTTACATCCGAAAACAAGGGATTTGTTTCCAAGATTGAAGGATTGTTTGTAAGGTTTAAGAAATTCATTTTAATAAGGTCAATAATGTTGGCTGTTACACTTAGATATTTGTCTACTTCGTGAAGGCAGTACCATATAATACTCGCAGATGATGTCAAAATTATACACTACGAGTGAATTTATTATTTGAATATTGTCTCTCTATAAATGATGAATGCAATGTCTGATTTCAAAAGATGTTTTGATCTTTGTTTAATGCTTGTACTTTGTAATGATGCTGCTGGACCTTTTTTCACACTATTTTTCTAAGCATTTCATTTAATATATATATTTTTTATTGAAAAGCATCTGTCTATAAGCATATGGATTCACTGATGCCATCCTTTCTCCATCCATAATGTCTAACTGGTAGAAGGGTGGTGAGATGGTCTAACAACACTGGGTTCAGCCACCAAAATGCTGAAAAACTGAGGATTCAGTGAAACTGAATTTTTATATTGTGATATATGCAAAAGGTTGTTTGCACAGGTCTCTTGCTTTAGTGTTGCTTATGCTATTGGTTCTCATGGATCTGTTTCATGCTCCTGATGGACAGCCTTAGTGTCCGAGATCAAAGACATTAAGGAGAAAAAACAGAAAGAGGATGATGTGCTTCTTGCTATCGCTGCTGGAAGTAGGCATGCTATACTTCCAAATCTTGAGTTTGAATACTCCGATGCTGAAATACATGAAGACTTGCACAAACTTGTGAAGTATTCATGTGAAGAGGTTTGCACATCCAAAGAACAATTCAACAAAGTTATGAGGCTTTGGACTGCCTTCTTGGAGCCGATGCTGGGTGTTCCTTCTCGGCCTCATGGTTCAGATGGGTCTGAAGATGATGTAATACCAAGGCATCGCTATGTGAAAAATATTGTGACAAACATTGGAGAAAGTAATGGAAGTCTTGGTGTTGATGCTACTACCATGAATTCAAAGCAGTCAAAAGCCATCTGCAATGGAGATGAAAGCACTTCACCGCAACGAGGAAACTGTTTCAGGAGTAGCTTGGTAACTGCCGATACTCTGGCCAAGGAAGATGGTTTTTGTCTGGAGAAAGATCAAAAGAATATAGCTGCTTTGGATAAGGTTTCTGGTTTAAATTGTACTGGGGGTTCTAGGGAATGTTTAGTAAGTTCTGATGTCCCACTTGCCAATGGAGCAGATACCAGTCATGTGAGGAACATCACGGAAGTGACTTCAGGTTTGTTTGTTAGGATTTCACTAGCATGATTGTGTTCTTTCCTGATCCATGGCATATTTCTGAACATTAATTCTATGTCTCTTCACATTTTTAGATGTCTAGTTTTAAGATTCTGTGACACTGAGATAATTTTGAATTTGAAGGGCTTGGTGCAAATTCTTCCAGAACTATGAATGGTGCTGCTGAGTATGGACCCAATGCTAGTGTTGATGATCTACATTCATCAGAGGTACGAATTAGAGGTTTTGGCCTGACTTGGTAAACCCCTTTTTCTAATTGAAGTAGACATGTACTACTTCTGAATTCAATGTTGAGTTTTATGATGGTCTGGGTGGTGTTTATTAAGATGTTTTTGTAATGGACTTTTGTGCTACAGTGTGTTGATGTTATAAGATCGCTTCCATTGGCCAATGGAGGGTTCCGAGAAGGCACTAAATTTAACCGATATAATGGGGACTCTGTAGATCCTTCCAAAATGGAAAAAGAAGAGGGCGAGTTGTCACCTAATGGTGATTTTGAAGAGGATAATTTTGTTTATGGAGCTGTTGTTTCACAGGCTATGCCTAACACAAAGTATACTGCCGGAAACATTCAATATCAAACTGGAAGTGGAGAAGAGATCTGTTGTCAGGATGGTGGAGGGGAAAATGGTGCAGATGCTGATGATGAGGATAGTGAAAATGTTTCTGAGGCTGGTGAAGATGTTTCAGGCAGTGAATCTGCTGCTGATGAGTGCTCACGGGAAGAGCCAGAGGAGGAGGAAGATGGGGAACGTGACGAGCTTGATGGTAAAGCGGAGAGTGAAGGTGAGGCAGAGGGGATGGCTGATGCAAACTTTGTTGGAGGTGATGGCATATCATTGCCACAGTCCGAACATTTTCTTCTGACAGTAAAGCCTCTGGCGAAGCGTGTGGCATCCTGTTATGAGGAAAAGAAGAATTATCGAGTTTTTTATGGAAATGATACTTTCTATGTGCTTTTCAGGCTTCACCAAGTAAGGATGTAGTTCTCTTATTTTCTTCGAATTTTTTGAATTAGAAATTGGATTTGGAGGAATAGGTATGCCATGAATTGCAATGTGAACAACCCCCCCCCTCTCCCTCTCTTTAATTTGGTTAAAACAAGGTGCAACTAGTTTTTCTTCATGTTGTATTAAACGTTTTTCTTTTCTGTTTTGCCAGATATTGTATGAAAGATTACTATCAGCCAAAATGAATACGACATCTGCTGAAATGAAATGGAGAACTGGGAAGGATACTCCTCCTCCTGATCTATATGCCAGGTTGTTTAGTGATGCATCTTTAATTCTTAACCAAATTAGATGGCCCTCTTGCATACTTATATTTGACAGCTATCTTTGAACTTGCAGATTTATGAGTGCTCTATATAATTTGCTCGATGGATCTGCTGATAATGCAAGGTTTGAGGATGATTGCCGAGCCATAATTGGAAATCAGTCTTATGTGCTATTTACATTGGACAAGTTGATATATAAGCTGGTCAAGCAGGTAAACTACCAATGATTCCTTTTCTTTAGGGTCATCTCATCACTTATTTTCCTGCACAAGTTTTAATTTTCATTCTTGTTGCAGCTTCAAACTGTTGCAAGTGATGAGATGGACAATAAACTTCTTCAATTATACGAATATGAAAAATCTCGGGGACTTGACAATTATGTTGATTCGGTCTATTATGAGAATGCACATGTCATCCTCCATGACGAGAACATATACCGATTTGAATGCGTGGGTCTTTTTGCTATTCTATTCTTATTTGATACTACTCTATCCTTTCATTTCGTATTGGCAGCTATGACTGGTATTTAGTTAACGTCATACTTGTGCAGTCACCCGGTCTGCCCTGTTTGACCATCCAGTTGATGGATGATGGAAATGAAAAGCCTGATGTGGTTGCAGTTTCCGTGGACCCTAATTTTGCAGCTTATCTCCACAACGATTTTCTTTCAGTTTTTCCTTGCAAAAAAGATTCGGCTGGCATCATGCTTAAAAGGTAGTGATATTATTGTGGAAAATTTTACTTAGTTTAGCAATGCTTGACATGATTTATTCATGTTCATTAAAGTAGGTTTGGTGAAGTGTTGGGTCTTCATTTCCTACATTTAGGGAGATCCATTTGGTTTCCTGAAATATCACTGTTACCCCTTGTACTTAATATATTCATTTTAGCTAGTATCCCTGATGTTTAGGAGGTTATGGACAACTGAAAAAGATGTTGATGCCGTAGATACTCTTCCAATTACACCACATAATCCCCTAACACCCCAAATGATACTGCCAAAGTCCACATGCCCATTTCTTATGCTTCATCATTGCCATTAGGCCGTCCAATTTCATCTCTCCGAATACGATCTGTATTGCATCGGATTTTATTTTTACAACCTGGNCCCATTTCTTATGCTTCATCATTGCCATTAGGCCGTCCGATTTCATCTCTCCGAATACGATCTGTATTGCATCGGATTTTATTTTTACAACCTGGATTGGGAACCCTACCGATCTGAATAGGTCAATTAGAACTAAATTTTAGTTAGTCACATCTTAATTTCAACCCAATTTTACCAGATTATGACTACATTTATTGTATATCAATATTAGGTATAATGTCAGCAAACTAAGAAAACTATTATTTTTTATTTTATTCCTAATTAATATTATGAAGTAAATTATATCCATACATGCCCTTTTATCTTGTGTTTTCTTGAATTTATCCAACTCCTTTTGGACTCTTCTATATGTAGCATAGTTAGATGCTAATTTCCTTTTTTAACCATTAATGTAACACCAATAGGTCTTCAGAACATATATCTCTTAGGTTATTAGTTGCATCTAAGTTTGTAATTATATTTTCACTTTGGGTTGTTATTCTTCCCAAATTGTTATCTACTATTTTTTACCACTGAATGTAAAAAGAAGCAAACTCCAATCCAACAAATATTAAACCAAATTATACAAAGTTTGCATGCACAGAATTTCAAAAAGTTTAATTCTAAGTTTTTGATTTTTAACGTCTTTATTGTTATGGTTATGACAATTTATAAGTCCTAGGAAAATGAGGCTTCTTGACTAATGGGTTTTGGAGCATTGAAGGTTATTAGAAAATGGTCAAATATAAAAAATATAACCTAAAATCATAGCTTAAAATGATTTATGTACAATGCACGTGTGCATCTTCTAGTTTATATAAAAGTATATATAAATTTTGCCTAGAAAGATGAAGGTCTGGGAATGAATTCGCATAGAACTAAACTGCATTGGCTGCAGCGAGGATAGTCACCTAATACCAATCACTCCCAACCCCATGCTTGGCTGGGCGACCAAATTTAAGATCTAACCAAATCATCCCAAGGGATTCACTTTACACTCGTTGCATGCGCACGCTTACATATAAGTATATATGTATATACCCCTAGTCAGAATTTTGACTGCCAGACCAATGGATATAGGTTATTAGCCAGGATTGTGAGATTGCCATCAACCAGGTAGGAATGGGAGACGTACTTTCTGTGGAATCTTAATCCTATGGGAACCGTATACTTGTCAACAATAGAGCATAGTAACTACAGAAATGAGACCAACAAATACGAATGAGTTTGCCATTGAAGTCCTTGATTCCTGCCATCCAATTAGAGTTTCAGGTGCTTATAAGTGGCACCTGGTTCTTTTTTCACGCATTAGACTTGGAAGTTGGAATATAATGCCTAGGAAGCTTTACTGAGTTGTTTGATTCAACAGAAGTCACTGATTGATTAGGTTCTGTAGTGTGATGTGCTATTTTTAATTTTTTTGCAGAAGTAAGCGCAAATATGCAGATCTTGAGGAATCTTATGCTATATGCATGGCTATGGAAGGTGTCCGTTTGGTCAATGGATTGGAGTGTAAGATGACTTGCAACTCATCAAAGGTATTTCTCCATTCTTATACGTGTCAGAAGAGAGACAAGCAATTTGTCAGTTTTGTGATATTTTAACTGGGGAAAGCCTTATTTCAACAAGCTGGTGTTGGTTGCATCATGAATGAATATATTTATTCTGTTTTTCTAGTTGTAGCTGATTGTTTGGTGATTGTTCATCTTTCCTATGCCCTCATCCACTGTCCACTTCCAAACACCCCTGCCCCTGTTCTCATGGTGTCTTCAAGTAGGCACATATCACTCTATTATTAAAAATAAAAAAATTACTACGTAAGTTTGGTTCTTATTGTACCTGACTAAATTGTATTTTGGTGAGTTTTCCCCATTGCCTGCATTTTTTTGAATTATTCTTGCATCCCATTTAATATCCATTGCACTCACATTTTCATCTCATTCAAGTGTGGTAGTTGATGCTCCTCTAATACTTCTGCATTACAACCAGTTTTGAATATTAGTGTTTAAGACTCTTTGGTCCTCAATTGGTGCATTTGATGTAACTGTGTCTCAAAGCCATGGTTTTAGTTGCACATGATTGGAAAGTTCCTTAACTATGTTGCTTTTCTTTTCACTTCTGTGTTCTCTCCCTTTTTGTGTGTTGGGTTCGGGCGTGGTGGTGGCTGTGGGTTTTGAGTATATTTTCCCCTTATCTGGACCCTTGGCAAGTTGAAATTGACCTTGGTTCCAACTCCAATTTTAATCTTTTTGGTCCTCAGACCTCACTCATTCATAACAGTATCAGCGCATTGGGATTATGGTTTATTATTGGTCCAGAATAAGCCCTCAGTCTGCTGCTGTGTTGATTCGCCAACACAATTAAGTTGCTAACTTGTTATGACCTCTCCATTATCTTCTAGAACATCTGCTGCTGTGTTGATTTGCCAATACAATGAAGTTGTTAACTTGTTATGACCTCTTAATTGTCTTCCTATATGTCATCAATTTTTCTTTTAGTCATTAGTTTCTTATATTTCCATATTCACGCGCTTTTTTCATGGAGACATGCTACACGTGTCTTGTCTCTCCCTACCTTAGTAAATACTCTCAGTACCCTTAGTCTACATTGTAAGGCAGGCCTTCCAATAGTATGATTTTTGTGCACTTCTTTCCCTTGTTGGGAGGTTAGTATGAGATCTAGTTTTCATTATTGGATTTCTGTGTTTCTCTAGATCATGCAATTATGGTTACAAGATCTCCAGCAAGATCATGTCTAGGGCATACTTGATTTTCATATACATGTAGGTAGTGTCTTGACCCAGTTCTTGGTTGGTAAGGTAAATTGTTAATTCTTTCTAATTATATATGTGCCTGCAGATCTCCTATGTACTCGACACTGAAGACTACTTCTTTCGTGTGAGAAGGAAAAGAAGAGATTTGTCTGGAGGAAGATCTTCATGCCATAATCAGTCAAGACAACAAAGGTTTCATAGATTTTTAATGGCCTCCCGATAACATTCCATGCCTTTCTTTTTATGGTGATACCATGACGATCAAGGTAATAGATACTCTTTCTGCTGTCATTTTAGTATTCTATGTCGAATGAAAACTTTATTATTGAAACTTTTGCACGCTTAAACCTCTCCTCTATCTCCTGCTGCATACATGCACACACAGACACACTTACCTTCCTTTTGAACGAGGTATGTGCACTGATGCCCCACTTTTTTGTATTGTTGTAGAATGTGCTGGCGCAAGTAATTGAACCTACAAAGGCTTTATTGCGGCACCCTCATGCAGCAGCCAATAATATGAGCAGAGGGGAATGAATCGGGGATGTTGTATCTCGTAGTTCATACCAACGGCAGTTGAGCCATTGTTCTGCTGTAAATAGGGTTTAATCTTCGTGTTACTGTAAAGTTATTTGTTTATTAGGTTGTGCTTTACTTTCCCAAGACTCTCTTCCTGTAACAATTTCTGGCAACCCCCCATTAGTGATACTTGGCTAGATTATCAAAGGGAAAGTAGTGGAGATAGAGGAGAATTATATATAGCTGACGAGATCACACATTTGAAACACAAATTGCATTTTGTTCTGGCCTTGTACAGAGCATCTTACAATTGATTCTAGCTTCATGTGGTAGAGTTTGTGTCCTTTTTGGTTTTTATCATTGTTTCAGTTGGTGGTAAGGTTGCGTACAACTAACTCTTTTCAGACTCCACAATGGCGAGAGGCTTGGGTACGGCTTTTTGGTTGGTGGTAAGGCTTTAATTCACATCAACTCTTGTATGTGAATTCTGACCTAACTGCTTATACACAAAACAAAANTTGCCAATACAATGAAGTTGTTAACTTGTTATGACCTCTTAATTGTCTTCCTATATTTCATCAATTTTTCTTTTAGTTATTAGGTTCTTATATTTCCATTTTCACGCGCTTTTTTCATGGAGACATGCTACACGTGTCTTGTCTCTCCCTACCTTAGTAAATACTCTCAGTACCCTTAGTCTACATTGTAAGGCAGGCCTTCCAATAGTATGATTTTTGTGCACTTCTTTCCCTTGTTGGGAGGTTAGTATGAGATCTAGTTTTCATTATTGGATTTCTGTGTTTCTCTAGATCATGCAATTATGGTTACAAGATCTCCAGCAAGATCATGTCTAGGGCATACTTGATTTTCATATACATGTAGGTAGTGTCTTGACCCAGTTCTTGGTTGGTAAGGTAAATTGTTAATTCTTTCTAATTATATATGTGCCTGCAGATCTCCTATGTACTCGACACTGAAGACTACTTCTTTCGTGTGAGAAGGAAAAGAAGAGATTTGTCTGGAGGAAGATCTTCATGCCATAATCAGTCAAGACAACAAAGGTTTCATAGATTTTTAATGGCCTCCCGATAACATTCCATGCCTTTCTTTTTATGGTGATACCATGACGATCAAGGTAATAGATACTCTTTCTGCTGTCATTTTAGTATTCTATGTCGAATGAAAACTTTATTATTGAAACTTTTGCACGCTTAAACCTCTCCTCTATCTCCTGCTGCATACATGCACACACAGACACACTTACCTTCCTTTTGAACGAGGTATGTGCACTGATGCCCCACTTTTTTGTATTGTTGTAGAATGTGCTGGCGCAAGTAATTGAACCTACAAAGGCTTTATTGCGGCACCCTCATGCAGCAGCCAATAATATGAGCAGAGGGGAATGAATCGGGGATGTTGTATCTCGTAGTTCATACCAACGGCAGTTGAGCCATTGTTCTGCTGTAAATAGGGTTTAATCTTCGTGTTACTGTAAAGTTATTTGTTTATTAGGTTGTGCTTTACTTTCCCAAGACTCTCTTCCTGTAACAATTTCTGGCAACCCCCCATTAGTGATACTTGGCTAGATTATCAAAGGGAAAGTAGTGGAGATAGAGGAGAATTATATATAGCTGACGAGATCACACATTTGAAACACAAATTGCATTTTGTTCTGGCCTTGTACAGAGCATCTTACAATTGATTCTAGCTTCATGTGGTAGAGTTTGTGTCCTTTTTGGTTTTTATCATTGTTTCAGTTGGTGGTAAGGTTGCGTACAACTAACTCTTTTCAGACTCCACAATGGCGAGAGGCTTGGGTACGGCTTTTTGGTTGGTGGTAAGGCTTTAATTCACATCAACTCTTGTATGTGAATTCTGACCTAACTGCTTATACACAAAACAAAATGNAGTGATCTTATTAGTATTATAGCAAAAAAGAGTTTTTATTTATTTTTATTTTTTTCAGATTTTGGTGCGAAGGGGTGGTTTACACGTTCACCACCGATCAATATTAATGATAAATAAATTGATTTAGTATTAAATTCAAATAAGTCTATTTAACTGATAATGTGCAAAAATTTATGATTTATTTTGAAATTAAATTATTCTATTTTGTGTAATTTGATTATGATTTTGATTAAATATATTTTTAATGTATGAGAGCTAGTGAATTTGATTGAGAGCAAGAACTCTAGTGCTCATAATTTTTTGATTCACCATCAAATACCTTTCTAATATTAAATTTAAGAAGTTGAATTCTCAATTTATAAAAATATAATAGCAGTCAAATTAATCTAATTGTTATTAATTTTGATTTAATGATACAAAATTCATCTCAAAATTTTATTTTATGATAAAAAAATATCAACTTTTTGAAAGCCCCTCAATGTTAGATAATTCCATTTTTTTTAATGTTAAATAATTCCATGAACAAAATCTTTAATTTCAAATAATATCATCAATCAACACCTATTTCTCTCTTCATTTTAATTTTAAATTACGTAATTAAAAAAATTATTATTTAAAATATAAATATAAAAAAATTATTATTTAATTTTTAATAATATATAATATCTTTAAAGACAGGATTATTGCCAGTAACAAAATATGATGCTCCTCAATTTGCAGTTACTAGTTATTGTCCCTTTTTCCTTTTTTATATTCATGGTTGGTCGTCCTTGTGGTCATTTTTCAGCTTTCGCCGTCCTTCTGATGCCTTTTTTAACTTCCAACTTGGAGATGAATGAACCCCAAGTTTCACTCAAATCTGGGTATGCTGGTGGCCGGTGGATCTTCAAGATCTACTACTTTTGAAGATCAGATGAAATTAGCGGTGGTTAAGTTTTGATATAATGCATTAATACATTTTTTTGGAAGATCATATATTATTGATCAGTAAAAAAACTCATTTATATATAATGAATTTCACTTGAATAGATGATAGGCGATTTTCCAAGTAAAATGTTATAAAAAAAAAAAAAACCCGCTATTTGCAATCGATATTTCACATCCAGAAATTAGAGTAATGTTGAGCCAAATGGACTGAGAATGCTTGTATTGATACTACAGAATGTCCGTCCTCCATTACTTACAGCTAGTGTGAAAGAAGTTGAACACTTTGCTGTAGCTGAATGTTGTACCCGTAAGTGGGTATGACTGATTGTATTTATAAGTGATATACAAGAATTTGAATTTGCTAGTGATAGCTCATTGACTGATATACAAGAGTTTGAATTTACAGATCCGGTAAAGACTGTAAACATTGTAATCTTAAAGTTAAGAGATTGATATGTGCAACTGTAATGCGTTAGCTACAATTATGATCTGATATACTATTAAAAAGTGTGTGTGTGTGTGTGAGAGAGAGAGAGAGAGAGTGGTGTCGTGGAAACACCCTGCACGAGAAGATATGTTATGTTATGGCATTGAATATGGTGCAAATAAATGTATGTTACGCAGTACATGTCCCTCTCAATGATGCCAATGCGTGAACCCGTACAATACTCTTCTCATCTCAGGTTCCTTAAAGCTAACAAACTTGGAATTTGAATCAGTCCTAAAAGAAGTCCACCGACGCCAATGCTAATAAATCACAAACAATACGCATACCTTTCAATCTTAACAACAAAGCAAACCGTGTTCTTTTCTCTATCTGACCATTCCTCTCTCTACACATTCCTCTCTTCTCTTCCTCTTCCCTCCATTTCCATAACTTCATCTTCCATATCAAGAAACACAACACAATACACATACCCACATCACAAAAAGGGCAATACACTCTCTCTCTCTCTCTAATATGCTGCTTCTTCGACCAATAATTTATGTATTCGTACTAACTTCTCTTTTTCTCTATCCAACATACTCTATTCGATCATTTCCAAACAATTTGATCGACAACAATAACAGAGAATCCAGATTTGATGGGTTTCTACACTATATTGCAGCACCAGAGTACAGAAATGGACCGGAATGTCCCATTCCGGTAACAAACGGTTCGCATTCTGCGGTCTGTGATCCTTTTCTTGTTCATGTCGCAATGACCCTTGATTCGAAGTACCTGAGAGGTTCCATAGCAGCTGTACACTCGATTCTCAAGCACAGCTCTTGCCCAGAAAATGTCTATTTTCACTTCATCGCCTCGGACTCCATGTCCAACACCTTGAAGTTCGATGACTTGACCCAAATCGTGAAGTCCACATTTCCTGGTTTGGGTTTCAAGGTGTACCCCTTCAGTGAAAGCCTGGTTAAGAACCTCATCTCATCTTCAATTCGCCAGGCTCTTGATGACCCATTGAACTATGCTAGAATCTACCTAGCCGACATGATTGAGCCGTGCATTGATCGGGTGATCTATCTGGATTCTGATATCATCATGGTGGATGATATTCAGAAATTATGGTCCATCACTTTAACTGGGTCTAGAGCCATTGGAGCTCCAGAGTATTGTCATGTAAATTTCACCAACTACTTCACAAGTCAATTCTGGTTCGACCCTAAATTATCGAAGGTTTTTGAGGGTAAGAGACCGTGTTATTTTAACACAGGAGTGATGGTTATGGATTTGGTGAGATGGAGGGAGGGGAGTTACAGGAAGAGAATTGAGGATTGGATGGAGATTCATAGGGAGAAGAGGATATATGAGTTGGGTTCGCTTCCACCATTTTTGCTGGTTTTTGGTGGAGAAGTTGAGGCCATTGATCATAGGTGGAATCAACATGGGCTTGGTGGCCATAATGTGGTGAATAGTTGTAGGTCTGTGCACTCAGGTCCGGTGAGTTTGCTGCACTGGAGCGGCAAAGGAAAGCCATGGGCAAGGCTCGACACTGGAATGCCTTGCTCCATTGATCATGTGTGGGCACCTTATGATCTCTATGGGCACAACGACCTTCCAAAACACCATGACCAGCTGTAGCCACCAATGTCTGTTTGGTTCATTGCGATTGATTCGATTCTTTCATTTTGTCACCACATTCAATTACATTTTTTTGTATGTGCATCTATATACACAGATTTTTGGGTGATGTATATATACAGAGGTTCATCCGGATTGAAGTTAAAAATGTGTGTAACAAGGAAACAATGTTATAATTCAGTCAACGTAACCCTCCTTAATGCGGTTTTTTAATCATTTTTACAATCTCTCTCTCTCTCTCTCTCTCTCTCGGCCATGTTCAAAGAAACAACTCCGAAAAATTAAAAATGCCACAACCATTTGAGCAACTACACACTTGAAAAGTGCAACATGCATGATCCCTAGTTCATAGTTTCACAATACTGGAGAAAAATCTAGTGCTCTCTTCTAAATCAACATCACTCTCGCAAATCAGACAAGTAAGAAATCCGATTCGACATTTACTCAATTTTTAATTGAAAAGTGCAGCCATACACAGAAGAAAACAGGCTGCGAGAGATCAACAACACAGCTACCTCAACACCAGAATGGTCAGATTTTGGTATAAGCAAATGGTGCTAGAAGCCACTTCACGAGATCAGTAATGCAGCTGCCTTAGTTAACCCCTGATTGGTCATAATTTGGGATAAGCAAATGTTCTTCTTACCCCTAATGATGATTATGCATCTAGGTACTACCAATTTTAGGAAAACATCCTACATGAATCTCACAAGCCGTTGATTCAATGGCACTGCAAGGATGCGGGGAGGTGAGGTTCCAACTATTGGCTTTAGTTTTACTGCTATGCTCCACACCATATTAAATCTCTGATGTAGAAATTATTCATTTAAAGTTGAAAACAAGGATTAAACATGTGACTGATCTACATAAGTTTTGTTTCAGATAAATAAAAATCATATGGATAAACAGAAAAACTGAATAAGTAACACCCCAAGAAAAAAGAAAAGAAAAGAAAAATAATGTACATCCCTCTCTCCTTTTACTTACAGTAAGCCGACGACACAACTTAGATGCAGCCTGTTCTCCAAGCCTCTTAAGTGATGACCCAATAGCATACACCTGTCAGCAAAAGGGCTCCTTAAGCATACAAGTTCAGATAGAAATCAACTTCATAAATCAGAAGCCAACTGGCCAGAGCCACAGCAGAATCAAACTTCCTCAGAAAACATGCAAAAGAACACTGTAAATATATTGGGCATACAGATTTCATTTGTCCCTAAATATATGGGAGACCAATGAAGAACATTGTTGGCTGCTTCCAATTTTTGTCGATTTACTAAATCAAAGCACATTAAGAAAAGTAATAAGGAATCAAGGATGACAATATACTTACCAGAAAAGCAGCTTTGCTAAATAATCCCGGGAAGTGCCAACAATATCACAAAATTCATCATCACCATTTTGGTAGTTCTCTGTACTCAGGAAAGCTGTGTCTCCCTCAAAATCAGAGGTTGTCTCATCTTTAAAGAATTTTCCCAATACATTTTGAGCAAGTTGGTGAATAATTTCCTCCACCTCCGATGATGATGGTCTAGAAAGTTCTGTCACCTGTTGGAACAAATGGTAACATGGAAAAGATTTATTGTGAGCTTTAAGGAACTGTCGCCGAGCAGGGAGTCACTAATCAAATTGGAGAAGTTTAGAGTCATTACCATATCAGATTCCAAGGACCGTAAGTACTCTAATAGATCATTGTTACTTTCTCTGATATACTCCATTTGCAAATTTTCCTGTTTGCGGGCATCGAGCTCCTGAGACAACATACGCTTATCAGCATAAATTGGAAAAAAAAGACTCATCTCTTTAAACATCAGGTAACTCCATTGGGCAAGTAGCATATGTCTAGTATGCATCAAATAGAAAAAAGGCACTGTATTTAACAGTCAGACAGTGAAGCAGAGAATAACCTAAGAGCGCTACCAGCATTTCAATTNTCAAATAGAAAAAAGGCACTGTATTTAACAGTCAGACAGTGAAGCAGAGAATAACCTAAGAGCGCTACCAGCATTTCAATTTCAGTTGAGGCTGATGAGTGGCAGTTAGTCCGAGTTAGCCACCTTGTAAAACTGAATTGTGGAAGGTATTGTTGGTGGAGTTGAAAANGTTGAGGCTGATGAGTGGCAGTTAGTCCGAGTTAGCCACCTTGTAAAACTGAATTGTGGAAGGTATTGTTGGTGGAGTTGAAAATGTTTCTTTTCGGGTCATGTCATTTTTGTGTTCTTTCTGCATATAAAAAGGTTCACAAAATGGGAGCCCCAGTGACAAACTTGGAACCCACCCTGCACTGGTATTCCTTGTTTCAAAGTCCAACAAAACCAGNGAGCCCCAGTGACAAACTTGGAACCCACCCTGCACTGGTATTCCTTGTTTCAAAGTCCAACAAAACCAGGACATAATTTTGAGATGAGCATGGGGAGGGGGTTGCCTTAAAGGTACCTTGCCCCCCATTGCACCCCAATTACCATCCCTACCAAAACTGCACCCTCTATTATAACTATATAAGAATTTTGCCCATAGCTTAAGTTCTTATCAACCCACTACCACAGTAACAAGTGGAAGAAGAGGCAACTGAAACCCAAATTCTCCTTGTCATCTTTCTATGGAGAACAATCCACACGAATTGTTAAGAAAATAATCCTAGATCATTGGTGGAAGCAATAAACAATCAAGGTCTCTGAACATAAAATTGTTTGTAAATGACATGCTCATTNAAGTGGAAGAAGAGGCAACTGAAACCCAAATTCTCCTTGTCATCTTTCTATGGAGAACAATCCACACGAATTGTTAAGAAAATAATCCAAGATCATTGGTGGAAGCAATAAACAATCAAGGTCTCTAAACATAAAATTGTTTGTAAATGACATGCTCATCAAAGAATTTTGGTAGAGGAAACACCATATGATTAATTTGCCTCCGGCCATATGATTAATTTAATTGCAAGTCTGCAACTGTTGTTAGTCCCCACAATATGTGTAGCTTTACACTCAAGGTACTTCTGAAGGTAACTAACTGAATATTTAGCTACGATATCAAATAAGAGCAGGCACAGGCAAACTAGTCATCTTAAACATGATTCTAATGAACTGTAAGAATTCTGCTTTTGATTTGATGTAAGGGAATTCAATCAACTAGAAAAAGCCATGCATACTAAAAGTGGCATCTAAAGACTTAGACTTCATAGCTTATTTCGTTCATTAGTTATTTCCTTTGTCACCTATTACACACTAGATAATCAGATTCTCCATGTCAAAACTTAAAAGCCTAGCAAAATCAATAGCAGCAAAAACATAAGAAACTTTCATATCTTTTGACCAACAAAAATTCACCAGGTACCATTTATTCTGTTTTCCACATGGTAAAAACCATCAACTGTAAGGGTCCTTTACATGGGTCGAGAAATAAGCAGGTACCTTTGGTTTGATTACTAACAAAATGATTTATAACTCAAATCTACGAGCATCTATAGCAGATTTATAATTCCACATAACATTTTGATAACCTGCCCTAAATGAATTTCACTTCAATCATCGGCAGACATGCATCTGAGCTTTGCATAAGTATTAACCTTTGCTCACAGGGCCACATCCTTTTTCTGCAAAACTCACTGGTAATCGTCAAGACTAATAGGACTTTTCTTTTCCTTCTCTTTCTATGCTGAGACTCAAAGGAGTATAAAGTTTTACAAGTTCCATTTCAATATAAAAATCAAACTTTGTTGACAGAGAGAAAGATAATACATTCTTACCTGCTTGACCGTAGATAACTCCAACTCCAGCTGTTTAATGTATTTCAAAGCCTCCTTAGACAAATCCCCAAGACCTTGAAGGTTCATCGTTTCCAAGTCTTCAACCCCACCAACCTCACCATTCTCACCCCCTCTCTCCTCACGCTTCACTTGGGAAACCCCATTTCGGTCTAAAAGATTCGAACTTTTCGAACTATCTGGCGATAGATCAAAGTTCCTCATCAAAGAAATCCTGTACTCCGCATTCCACAAGGTATACCTAAAGAATCGACAATTAAATCATTCTTTATTCGCAAAAGTCAAAATTTAAAAATTCTACAACAACTAATTCGAGAATTACCTATACATAACAGCTACTATACATGCAATTAACTTGAAAATAATTACCCCGTGATGATTGAAGAAACGATAAGGCGATGGAGAGGGTGTCTGGAAACCCTAACAGTGACAGAGAATTGATCCGATGGGAGCAACCCAAGCATAGTAGAGATGGTCTGCTTCATGGAGTCCTTGGCGGAATCAGAAACGCCCTTGGCGATAACCGAATTGTCCAAAGGTTCGATTCTCCTGAGCATATTGGCGATAACTAAGAATCCGCGATCGAAGCCAGACTTCCGGGTGGAGACGAAGTCGTCGGAGACTCCACCACCGTCGACGCCGGAGATCAGGCAGCAAACAGCACCGGAGGATCGTTTCTTTGTGATGGCGATGGCCGGAAGCAACGGTCGGATTAGAAGTTGGTGTGAGAATCGAAGGGGTGGTTGGAGGTGTTTGAGTGGAAGGTCGGTGATGCGAGAGAGATAGAAAGCCCCGGTCGTGACGGCCATTAATGGAAAAGCTGGAGGAGGGTTTCAAGCTTTTCTCTGTTTCTGTGCGTGTGGTTTGGTGCCTCCGGCGAGGCTCTTTACGTGTGTGTGTGCTCTGCTCCCTCGATTCTTCTTACCCTCTCTGAGTCCACCCGTTTTTTCTTGTTTTTATTTGGTTTCGACTTAATTACGAGAGTACCCCTCTTGTTCTAGTAAATTATGGATACGCCATTGGAGGACAAACAGTGATGGTGACGAGGTCACCGCACCCACTAAGTGGTATTTGAAAATGAGTAAATTACACTTATNTCTGAGTCCACCCGTTTTTTCTTGTTTTTATTTGGTTTCGACTTAATTACGAGAGTATCCCTCTTGTTCTAGTAAATTATGGATACGCCATTGGAGGACAAACAGTGATGGTGACGAGGTCACCGCACCCACCAAGTGGTATTTGAAAATGAGTAAATTACACTTAGGTTCTATAAACTTACTAAACTATAACCTTCATTTCATATCGCTTTTCTAATTTATATAATAAAGTATATTAAATTTTGAATCCTAAAAATAAAAAACAGCTAAAATTAATTCTGATTTAAAAAGATATTAAATCCTACCACCTATGTTATCTTAAATTTTTCGTGGCTCTTAATTCACTCTGAAATTTTTTTTTTCGCTCACAAATTTTTTTATTTTTTGACTCCTAAATTAATGCATCTTATTTCCAACCTCACGTCTCTCCTTTCCAAATTACCTCCTCTTACCCACACATTATACCAATCATTAATATATGTTTAATCTTTCATTGACCGATCACTAAAACCTCTCAAACAATTTCTTTAATTTAGCACACTTTGATTAAACTATGCATATTATTTACCTTATATTGATGGAAGATTTGTCATAATACTCATATTTTCCTAAGGTAGGTAGACTTGGATCCACTTTCAATATTCCTATTTTAGCTCAATACTAATAATTTTTCAAGGTGGATCGTAAGGTTTAACTTTGAATTAACATTATCATTACACTCTACTTGAAAAACGAGGAATGTAATATGATTTTCCTCTATTTAAGTTATACGAAATTAGTGATTCAACATTGCTATGCTGTTTAATACTCTATTTGATAGGAATGATAGAAAGTAGGAGGGAGGAATGATATATTTTCTATCCTCAAAGGAAGGAAAATAGGAATGATACACTTTCTTTCTTTTGTGTTTGATAGGATAGATGAAAAGTAGAAATAATTAATTTTTTTTGTGTTTGTATTAATGAAAAAATATAAATACATAATATATAATTGATAAATATGATATATATATATATATCAAATGATAGATAGACAAATAACATACATTTCAACACACATAATTAATTTTTCATCCATTTTTCTCATAATTTTANATAATTGATAAATATGATATATATATATATATCAAATGATAGATAGACAAATAACATACATTTCAACACACATAATTAATTTTTCATCAATTTTTCTCCTAATTTTAGAGAGATTGATTTTGATGAGTTAGCAAAAAAGTTAATCCATCAACTTTTCTATCATTTTTTATCAAATAAGATATTTTATCTATCCATCTAATTTTTTATCATTATATTTTTTCATTGTACCACACTGAAGATATGTTTTAGCCCAATCCACTTTCAGGAAACAATGCAAGAGCTGTTTTGATAGAACATTGATCAGATATACGAAAAAAATAAATAAAATAATCNTTATCAAATAAGATATTTTATCTATCCATCTAATTTTTTATCATTCTATTTTTTCATTGTACCACACTGAAGATATGTTTTAGCCCAATCCACTTTCAGGAAACAATGCAAGAGCTGTTTTGATAGAACATTGATAAGATATACGGAAAAAATAAATAAAATAATAAATAGGATTATGCAAGATAAGGTAAAAAAACAGAGGAAAAAAGAAGACAAAGAGTTACAATGACAATTATGAATAACCATGGGGAAGTTAATGTCAACGTCAGAAGTCATAGGGAGAACTTTGTAAATTAAGACAAAAGAAATCCCGAACGAATTATTCAACATAGGTTCGATTCATTATCATAAGAAGTCAAAAGGTTCTCTCATTTGTTGTTTGTGTGTTGTTCTGTTTTCCTTCCGTGTCTGCATGTGTGTCTGAAGGGCTATTCCTTCCCATGCCTTCTTCATCACTATCAATCGATGGCTTAGGCCNATTATTCAACATAGGTTCGATTCATTATCATAAGAAGTCAAAAGGTTCTCTCATTTGCTGTTTGTGTGTTGTTCTGTTTTCCTTCCGTGTCTACATGTGTGTCTGAAGGGCTGTTCTTTCCCATGCCTTCTTCATCACTATCAATCGATGGCTTAGGCCGGACGTTCGTAATCTCAACAACAAAGTCTTAATTCTAACTATTTGAAGTCGACTAATAACCTAAATCCCCGTTGATCATTCACATCTCCGTTTATATATGTCTCCATGTGTATATGTATAGATCACGTATAGGCTATAGCTTTAACGATTTATGCTCGTTTATTGGGAGTATTTTTCAATTAGTTGATAAGATCTAATGGTTGTAANGTCTCCATGTGTATATGTATAGATCACGTATAGGCTATAGCTTTAACGATTTATGCTCGTTTATTGGGAGTATTTTTCAATTAGTTGATAAGATCTAATGGTTGTAAATGTTGACGTCTATTAAGGTTTAGAATTGGTCTTCTTTCTATTTGTTATTTTCTGTTAATAACAGCCCTGATTGTTAGGCTGTAGTGGCTAGGTTTGACTTATTCAGCAGTCTGTTTGCACGTTCTTAGGATACTTTGAACGTGTATTGTTATTCTTTATCTTTCAGTGTAAATGGCTAATTATAAAGTCAGTAGCTTTCATTTGAATAAGTGTGACATTCCTTCAGCAGCTTTGTGAGTGAAATACTTTGAGCTTTAACAATTGGTATCAGAGCACCGAAAGGAGCTTGATTAGGAGTGTGTGAGAAAGTTCAAAGTGAAACACAAGAGATAGAGAGGGAGAGAAACACAAAGTGATTGTGTGAAGTCAAAGATGTCTACCTCAGAGCAGTTTATGCAAGCTTCAATTTCGAGATTTGATGGACACTATGATCACTGGTCCATGATGATGGATAACTTCTTGAGAAGCAAGGAGATGTGGAGTTTGGTGGAGGAAGGAGTTCCAGTCGTAATACGGGGACCAGCTGCAAGTGAGGGACAACGAAAGACCGTAGAAGAAGCCAGGCTCAAGGATCTGAAAGTCAAGAATTTCTTTTTCCAAGCAATTGACAGAGAGATTATGGAAACAATTCTTGATAAAGGAACAACGAAAGCAATCTGGGATTCAATGAGACAGAAATATCAGGGTTCGACAAAAGTAAGAAGAGCACAACTGCAAGCATTGAGAAGAGAGTTTGAATTGCTAGGCATGAAGGAAGGAGAAAAGGTGGACAACTACATCTCTCGAACCCTAACCGTGGTGAACAAGATGAAGGTCCACGGAGAGCAGATGCAACAGAGTGTCGTGGTTGGTAAAATTCTAAGATCAATGACTTCTAAATTCAATTATATTGTGTGCTCAATAGAGGAGTCGAATGATCTAGACACCATGAGTATTGATGAACTTCACGGCAGCCTTCTAGTTCATGAGCAGAGAATGCAGGGATATAAAGAAGAGGAGCAAGCTCTAAAGGTTGTCTGTGATGATAGAGCAACAAGAGGAAGGGGCAGAGGTGCATTTAGAGGCATTCGAGGCAGAGGAAGAGGAAGAGGAAGAGGAAGAGGAAGGGATAGGCAACAATTCAATAAGGAGCTGGTTGAATGCTATAAGTGCCACAAATTGGGGCATTTTCAGTATGAGTGCCCNGGGATAGGCAACAATTCAATAAGGAGCTGGTTGAATGTTATAAGTGCCACAAATTGGGGCATTTTCAGTATGAATGCCCTGAGTGGGTGAAAGGAGCAAACTATGCAGAACTTGATGAGGAGGAAGAAATGCTTCTCATGTCGTATGTTGAACTACATCATGCAAAAAGAGACGAGGTATGGTTTTTAGACTCTGGTTGTAGCATTCATATGACTGGTAGCAAAATGTGGTTTATAAGTTTGGATGAAGGGTTTAGACAGTCTGTTAAACTAGGGAATAACTCTAGGATGATGGTAATGGGTAGAGGAAATATTAGGATGGAAGTAGAGGGTATAACACAAGTTATTATTAATGTGTATTACATTCCAAAGTTGAANCTAGGTATGGTTTTTAGACTCTAGTTGTAGCAATCATATGACTGGTAGCAAAATGTGGTTTATAAGTTTGGATGAAGGGTTTAGACAGTCTGTTAAACTAGGGAATAACTCTAGGATGATGGTAATGGGTAGAGGAAATATTAGGATGGAAGTAGAGGGTATAACACAAGTTATTATTAATGTGTATTACATTCCAAAGTTGAAAAACAATTTGCTAAGTATAGGACAATTACAGGAGAAGGGATTAACAATACTTATACAAAATGATATGTGCAAATTGGTTCATGCCTCTAGAGGTCTAATTATGAGAAGTGAAATGTTTGTGAATAGAATGTTTGTACTATTGGCTTCTGTTGCTTCTAGAGAACCTGCTTGCTTCAAAACAGTCACAGAAGATGAGTCACACTTGTGGCACTACCGATTTGGTCACATGAGTTACAAGGGCTTGAGAACCTTACACTACAAGAAAATGGTGAAAGGTTTACCGTTTTTGANAAAAGATAAGTCACACTTGTGGCACTACCGATTTGGTCACATGAGTTACAAGGGCTTGAGAACCTTACACTATAAGAAAATGGTGAAAGGTTTATCGTTTTTGAAGGCTCCAACAAAGCTATATGAAGGATGTTTGAAGGGAAAACAACACAGGGATTCTTTTCCTAAACAAAGTCAGTNAGAAGATGAGTCACACTTGTGGCACTACCGATTTGGTCACATGAGTTACAAGGGCTTGAGAACCTTACACTACAAGAAAATGGTGAAAGGTTTACCGTTTTTGAAGGCTCCAACAAAGCTATGTGAAGGATGTTTGAAGGGAAAACAACACAGGGATTCTTTTCCTAAACAAAGTCAGTGGAGAGCTACTCAAAGGTTGCAAATGGTACATGCAGATATTTGTGGTC